GCCGCCCGGCAGGGCAGCGCGACAAGCGGCGGCACAGCCAACACATCTCTCGGCACTTCGTCCTGATTTCTCAGGGAAGTGCAAAAGCCTCTGGAATAAACTTCACTTGGCCACGGTAGGAAGCACAGGTAGAAACAGTAATACGCGCCACCACCTACAGACTGCAGTAGGGATGGAGGTGGGAGATCTCCACGGACAATGCAGGCAGACCCGCCGAGCCTACGGGAGAATAAGATCCTCTACAGAGGACTCTGAGATCCTCTACACAGGAACCTGGCAGGCTTGTTTTGACTGCAGATTGCTCTGGCAGGTCATAACTCTTCAGTGAATTCCTAGGAAAACTTATTTAGCATTTTGCTATTAAAGTTCTCTAGGACTTTCCTATCAGAAATACAATTGAGAGTTAAGCACTCAGTCCATATAGAAAAGACAAAGTCCACCTCAACAGCAAACACCCAAAGCAATTTAAAAAACTGATACTAAATGCAACTTCAATTGCAGAATTATTCTCCCACAAAGAGCACTTCAGAAGGCATGACAGTCAGCACACTATGAGGGTAGGTGAACAGTCTATTAAGATTTCAGTAAAATTTCCCAAAGTGCTTGAATCCCATTCCTGCAGGCTATTTAGGCACTTAGGAGCCTAAGTTTAATGGGTGTGAAGCTTAGTCATTTCACCTAAATTATTTATGCATTTTTTTTAACGTTACCTTTCAAATTTAGGCTCATTATGAAAGTAACATACAGATTGTATTACCTACGCTGAGCTGCTTTTCTAAAAATTAGCTATGTTTTTTTCAACTGTTTTCACTTTCTAAGTAAAAATTTAAATTTTTACTTAGAAAAATTTAAATCTTATTTTTCTTTATTCCTGAGCATGTAGGGCATTTTATAAATAATATTATACATAACAACTGAAATAAATGACATAAAAAGAAGGAAAACTTATCCTAGCTCTACACATTGTCACTCTACTACAATGTCACTTAAGGATCTGTTGGGAGTTTTATTAGATTTTTTTTTTACCTGGAAGTTTAGGTCTCTACCTCCATCTACAATGTGATGAAGACTATTGCTCATTGCTGAAACGTGGCATACAAATGGTCCTTTAAAATAAGTCAGAAACTACACTTATCTTTCAAAATAAGATCCAAAAAATTTCAAGGAGTAGAAACATATCAGGAACTCAAGACAGACATTTTACTGAATTTAGGACTTTGAAGCTGAACTGAACACAAGCAGGACCTGGACATGCAAAGGTATGCACAGACCAAGCAAGTGCACTCGGACGCAAGCCACCTCTGGCTCAGGTTCTCACTGGGCGTCTTGGCCTGTTCCAGCGTCTGCACCGCTCCCGCCTCCTAGAAATTTGCCTATAGAAGCAGCTGCTCTATCTCTGAGCTGAGCTGGGGAGGGTTTATTCATCCCTCCTTTGCTCCTTCACACAGCTTTTTTTTGCCCACTGCAGGACACAATGGAATGTGTGTCCTGACACATAGAAGCCTATGCCCACATTCTCAGCACTGGAGGCAGCACTGAATTTTGTTGAGGAACAAGAATAAAGAACTAGGAACTTACTCGCACAACTGTAGCAACAACATTCAGTTTTGCAGTATTGATAGAGCAGATTTTGGAAAAGTTTCATGTGGCTGATTTCAGGAGGAAGATCTTGTGAGGATGGTTGATGAATCCTGACAAGGAGTTAATGGTTTCTGGAAGCATCTCTCTTTCTCCCTCCCCATCTTCTTATGCCCAGCCAACCTGATCTCACTGTGGGAACTGGAACTGTTTAGGGGGGATTTTATTTGGGCTGTGAGTAAGGGGATGCTGTTCTGACTAACTAAAACATGGACATGTGCAGTGTTGAGTGAGTGAGGAATGGAGAATCTGCTCCTCCTTGGATACACTCCTCCTTTCTCTTTCTTTTCAGGGAATCTTTGATGCTACACGTCTATTTCTTTCTAAAGGAATTCTATGACATTAGTCACATATTAGGTTAGATCAGCCCCTTTTCCCAATGAAGATACTGGCAAAACTTGCCACTGGTATGAGCCAATTCCTCTTCATTGCGTACATGGCAACGCTGGCCAAGGAAAAAGGCCAGGAAAAGGGAGTACGCTTTAAGTCAGTGCAAATATTTTTGTATTCATTTTTAAACCTTGTTTAAACACAGAGACACAGATAACAATACTAGGTTAAAATAACAGTATTTGAACAGAAAGCAAAACTTCAGAAGTTACATCCTGATGTCCTGTATTTCTTTTTTAATAATAAAATCAGTTTTACTCAGCTAGCATTTGAAAACAATTCTTTAGTGACCAGCCTCTGAGTCTAAAAATAAAGCTTATGTCCTGTCTGCTTCATGCCACTTGTGTGTTTAGGATTCTACATTCAAAACAGTGATCCTAAGTCTGCAAGTACTCAGAGACCTTACTCTCATGAACCAAGTTATATGCTGGATGCAAAGCCTTCAGGAATGAGGCTGTTACAGGTGACCTGTAGCTTTAGGGGCCACAGTTTCCATTCTGAGCAGAGCAAACTGGGGTTTAGTAATTCCTAAACCGCAAGCGTCTGTGCGGAGAGCACCAAACTCCTGGCGAGGCCGTGAAGACTCTAGGGAAGCAGAAGTGACAGAAGTCACTTGTGGTCCTAGAATTTCTTGGTGGAATGGCTGATAGCAGGACTGGGGAAGAGCTGTCCCAGGAATAACTCTGCCAGAAACCTCTGGGTCAGAGGAAAAAGAGATTTGGATTCCCATCAAATTGGTTTATTTGTGGATTTGCTGAAAACAGTCAATGAAACCAATAAATGAAATCCAGAGGTAAAGGGCCTGATCCAGACACTGTGTATGATGCCAGCCTTTCCTGGGCTAGGGAGAGAGGCCAGCAGCTCGTGGAGGCCTGAGCTGGTCACTCTACTGGCAATGGTGCATGAAGCAGAGGAGAAAACAACTCCCTTCACCTCAGCTTTATTGGTTCTGGAGTGCTGACAGTAGTAAAAATGATTTTTTTTCAGTAGACAAAGTAAATACAACTTTCAAGGCACAGAGGAAGCCAATGTGGGCAAGACTAAGATGCCATTTCTACAGGGTCACATCTCTGATGAGGCGAGAAGAGGTATGCAGCAGGCACTACTTTGCTTATGACTCTGGAGGCACAGCTCTGAAAATATTATGAAAGGAACTGATTTCAGTTCACAGCAGCAAGGATACACAGAAGAAATTCACAATAACTTTTTCCCCATTAAATCAACTAATAGGAAGCAGCAGGTAACCAAATTCACTTTTAGTCACGTCTTAGCTAGCTGCTAGACCAGCTTTCCTGTTCCCTGGTCAGATCCATATATATTTTGTAAGGAACTTCTTAAGGATTAATTTTTAACCTTCTAAACTGTGAATCTCTAAAGTACTTCTAAAGGAGATGCAGAGCTTTCAGACATTTCATACAGTTCATATAGCCACGTAGCTATCTACCCAATCCATGTGGTTTGCTATTGCAGGCCTTGGCCACCTCCCCTAGGACTCCATGCACCACAGGCAGAAAATCACTGTTTTATTGCTTTCATGCCAGATTCTTTACAATGGAAAGATTCAGGGAAATGCACCTTTGAAATCCAGTGCCACGCCTCAAGGTACCTCACTCATTTCCCTTTCCCTTTCCAGATTCACAAAAAGGACCACACAATAAGTGTTTTAATGGATTAGCTAGTAGGTGATCAGCTACTCTGACAGAAAACAGTTATGAATCATGTACTTTGGAAAGAAAATAGTATTCGAAAGAGAGGAAAGCTCTACCTTGAAATCCCAATGGAATGGAGAAAGAGATGGATACATTTGGCCAAGAACTTGCATCTGCATTGATAAATGATGTATAAATAATATATTTTCAAACCAAGCTCTGGGATGAATGTTTTACAGTAGAGTAAATCCTAGGATGACTGATGCATTAAAGCAATAAAAAAAGCAAAAAGAAGAAGACCCTCCCCCAATAAAAAAAGGAAGTTATTTCTTAGTCTTCTCTAACTACAACTGTATTTAAAGAACAGACTTGACGCTTGCCAAATGTATCCACTACCTTAAAAAGAAGAAAAAAAGTGAAGGTTATAAAAGAAGAGAAAAAAATCTTTCAAGGTCCTTAAGGAATTGCTCTATTTTGCTCATTTCATGTTATTCCTGCTCTTAAAATACTGTATCTTCCTGAGTCTCAGCTCACTTGCCTCTTGCTCCTGCATTTTTCCTAAGGTATAGACTTTTGTCTTTAGACCAGGGCTTGTGCATTCATCTGCTGATAAACTGTTTATCTTAGCTTTTATGAGGGCGCCTTGCT